CAGGCAGCAGCAGGCAGCAGCAGACACCAGCAGAGGCAGCAGCAGGCAGCAGGCACAGCAGACACCAGCAGAGGCAGCAGCAGGCAGCAGCAAGCAGCAGCAGGCAGCGGCAGGCAGCGGCAGGCAGCGGCAAAGTTGCAATTTTATAGTAGGGTTTCAGAAGTGACGTTAGGCCCTTTTTTGGGGTTCCTTTGCTACGTTTTGGGCACGAAATTAGGTGGTGTTTTGCTGTTTCGGATGTGTTTCGAAAAGGGTGTCTGGCTGTTTGTTTCTTGCTTTGGAGGCTGTTTGATTGCAGCACTGCAGCAGCACCACAGCAGCAGCAGCAGCCACCAGCAGCAGCACCAGCAGCAGGCAGCAGCAAGGAGCAGCAGGCAGGCAGCAGCAGGCAGCAGCAGGTAGCAGCAGGCAGCAGCAGGCAGCAGCAGGCAGGCAGCCGCAGGCAGCCGCAGGCAGCTGCAGGCAGCAGCAGGTAGCAGCAGGCAGCAGCAGACACCAGCAGAGGCAGCAGCAGGCAGCGGCAGGCAGCGGCAGGCAGCGGCAAAGTTACAATTTTATATAGTAGGGTTTCAGAAGTGACGTTAGGCCCTTTTTTGGGGTTCCTTTGCTACGTTTTGGGCACGAAATTAGATGGTGTTTTGCTGTTTCGGATGTGTTTCGAAAAGGGTGTCTGGCTGTTTGTTTCTTGCTTTGGAGGCTGTTTGATTGCAGCAGCACCACAGCAGCAGCAGCAGCCACCAGCAGCAGCACCAGCAGCAGGCAGCAGCAAGGAGCAGCAGCAGACACCAGCAGACACCAGCAGAGGCAGCAGCAGGCAGCAGCAAGCAGCAGCAGGCAGCGGCAGGCAGCGGCAAAGTTGCAATTTTAAGTAGGGTTTCAGAAGTGACGCCTTTTTTGGGGGTTCCTTTGCTACGTTTTGAGGGCTGTTTGATTGCAGCAGCACCACAGCAGCACCACAGCAGCAGCAGCAGCAGCCAGCAGCAGCACCAGCAGCAGCACCAGCAGCAGGCAGCAGCAGGGAGCAGCAGGCAGGCAGCCGCAGGCAGCCGCAGGCAGCTGCAGGCAGCAGCAGGCAGCAGCAGGCAGCAGCAGACACCAGCAGAGGCAGCAGCAGGCAGCGGCACAGCAGACACCAGCAGAGGCAGCAGCAGCAGCAGCAAGCAGCAGCAGCAGCAGGCAGCGGCAGGCAGCGGCAAAGTTGCAATTTTATAGTAGGGTTTCAGAAGTGACGTTAGGCCCTTTTTTGGGGTTCCTTTGCTACGTTTTGGGCACGAAATTAGGTGGTGTTTTGCTGTTTCGGATATGTTTCGAAAAGGGTGTCTGGCTGTTTGTTTCTTGCTTTGGAGGCTGTTTGATTGCAGCAGCACCACAGCAGCAGCAGCAGCCACCAGCAGCAGCACCAGCAGCAGGCAGCAGCAGGAGCAGCAGGCAGGCAGCAGCAGGCAGCAGCAGGTAGCAGCAGGCAGCAGCAGGCAGCAGCAGGCAGCAGCAGGCAGCAGCAGACACCAGCAGAGGCAGTAGCAGGCAGCGGCAGGGCAGGCAGCAGCAGGCAGCGGCAGGCAGCGGCAAAGTTGCAATTTTAAGTAGGGTTTCAGAAGTGACGTTAGGCCCTTTTTTGGGGTTCCTTTGCTACGTTTTGGGTACGAAATTAGGTGGTGTTTTGCTGTTTCGGATGTGTTTCGAAAAGGGTGTCTGGCTGTTTGTTTCTTGCTTTCGAGGCTGTTTGATTGCAGCAGCACCACAGCAGCACCACAGCAGCAGCAGCAGCCACCAGCAGCAGCACCAGCAGCAGGCAGCAGCAGGGAGCAGCAGGCAGCAGGCAGGCAGCCGCAGGCAGCCGCAGGCAGCTGCAGGCAGCAGCAGGCAGCAGCAGGCAGCAGCAGACACCAGCAGAGGCAGCAGCAGGCAGCGGCACAGCAGACACCAGCAGAGGCAGCAGCAGGCAGCAGCAAGCAGCAAGCAGCAGCAGGCAGCGGCAGGCAGCGGCAAAGTTGCAATTTTATAGTAGGGTTTCAGAAGTGACGTTAGGCCCTTTTTTGGGGTTCCTTTGCTACGTTTTGGGCACGAAATTAGGTGGTGTTTTGCTGTTTCGGATGTGTTTCGAAAAGGGTGTCTGGCTGTTTGTTTCTTGCTTTGGAGGCTGTTTGATTGCAGCAGCACAGCAGCAGCAGCAGCAGCAGCAGCACCAGCAGCAGGCAGCAGCAGGGAGCAGCAGGCAGGCAGCAGCAGGCAGCAGCAGGTAGCAGCAGGCAGCAGCAGGCAGCAGCAGACACCAGCAGAGGCAATAACGCGGCATACTGACCATTTTGAAAACAGTAGAGTCGGAAAATTGGCACTAGCAAACTGTCGGGTGGACCAATCCTGTAACTGTCTCGTGGTACATTCAAGTCAGTTGTACTTGCATCATGAACATATACATCAGCATTCACACTCTTGTAGCTGGTGCCCAGAAGAAAAAATATTGCGGCCGCAAGGTGGCTTTGCAAGTCGAAAGTCTGTGCTTCTGCCTCGTCCGGCTTTGGCTCCAATTTTAGATGTCTTTGGCATGATCTGCATAGTTGATGTCGTGCTTTCTGCGATGCCATCACAGAAGGTCCCATGGAAAGGTATCCATGAAAAAGCAAATTCAATAGCAATGCTTCAAGCCAGGGGATATCAAAACTAGAACCGCAAAGGCGCCATGCCAGCTTGGCAAATACTGCTTCTGCTCTTCGATCTACGTCTTTTTCTGTTCTGTCTATGTTGGCGCTTGTCCTCGTGCTGTCCGTCTCTACGGTTGGTTCAGTTTCACGCACAGTGGTTTGGCGCAACAGACTATCAAAATGATATCCCCTGCCTTGCACAGAGGTGTGATTGTATATATGCAGCTGTAAGGCATGATGCTCGGGGTGCTCGAACCCAAGATGGACAAGAATCTTGTTCCGATCTGGGTCTGCCGTGCACTCACCAAATCGGTCGTGCACACGAATTATCATGTTAGCGCGCGCAACAGCCCGAAATCGTTGCAACAGAAATGTCACAATGTGCGGGCCATCGCGGTGCGCATCTAAATATGGAAAGAATCCCTTCGCGCTTGGAAGTACTGCTTGCCCAACCGCTTGAACCAAATGCTTTCTGCATGCAACTGCACTGCGTCGTCTTGCTGCAACATCTGCGCCCAAGTTGCTTGGCAAAAGACCTTCATACGCTAAGCACAGCATCAAGGAATCGATTAGGCAATTGTTGACGCCGTGTGACAGCGCCTGCTGCCACCTGAACCCTTCAGCTGCCAAAGCCTTTAAAGCTTGGGTATCAGTCATGCTTCGGCCAGGAGCATTTACTTGCGCGATGTCACACAGACGGTCCGCAACTGCAACGCAGTGAGCCTCTGTCGTGCTTGTTTGCAATTCTTTCCAGCCATCCCAAGTGGGCACCCAACTCTGCCCAAGTACTTTTGCTGCGTCCTCTGCTGTTCCAAGTCTAGATAACAAGATTGCTGCGCTTCAAGGTGCGATACATTTCATTGCGTTACATTGCAATGCATTGCATTGCATTACATTGCATTGCATAACATTACATTGCCTTACATTGCGTTGCATTACACTTCATTGCATTGCTTTGCATTACCTTTCGTTGCTCTTCATTGCAATGCAGGGGCATTGCATTGCATTACATTGCATGGCATTACATTGCATTACATGGCATTGCATTACATTTCACTGCATTGCATTGCATTGCATTACATTTCATTGCTTTTCATTGCAATGCATTGCATTGCATTACATTGCTTGGCATTACATTGCATTACATTGCATTCAATTGCATTACATTGCATTCCATTACATTGCATTGCAGTACATTGCATTGCATTACATTGCATTGCATTGCATTACATTGCCTTACATTGCATTGCATTGCAGTACATTGCATGGCATTACATTGCATTGCATTTCATTGCATTGCATTACATTGCATTGCAGTGCAGTACATTGCATTGCACTACATTACATTGCATTGCATTGCATTACATTGCATTCCATTACATTGCATTGCATTGCAGTACATTGCATTGCATTACCTTGCATTGCATTGCATTGCAGTGCATTGCATTGCATTGAATTGCAGGCTTTCATTTATAGTTTCTTTAGGTCAATTTATGATTTCTTTAGGGTTCATTTTGTGTTTCATGTAGGGGTTTCTGGCAGCAATTCATTCGGGTTTCTTTCGGTTTCACAGTTTCACCTACGGTGTTTAAACTTTCATTTAAGATACAAACAGGAAAGAATAAAACAAAAAAAGTAGGATTTCAATTTCATGTAGGAATTCTCTTGATATTTACATCTCTTAAGGGTTTTATTTCGAGTTTCTTTTGCGTTTCTGTCGGGTTTCATGTAGGGTTTCATTTAGGGATTCTTTCCGATTTCCTTTCGCGTTTAATTTCGAGTGTTATGTGAATTTCTTATCAGAAAATCTTGTCAAAGTTTTCAAACATTCATGTGGGTTTCTTGAGAGTTTCTTTAGAGTTTCATTTCAGATTTCGTTCATGAGGGGTCAAAAAAACACGGGGGAAGTCAAACAAACAAGGTGGGGGATCAAAAAAAACAACGCCCTCGTATACTTTCATAAAATATCATGCACCTGTGCGGCGCAACCATGCACCTGTGCGGCGCAACATTAGCTGTATAATAATAGGGCCAAAAATATTGTGTATATATATATCTAACTATTATACTGTTACTTAGATCCATGAACCCATAAAACCATAAGATCAGAGTATTAACATGCACTCAAATGAAAAACCCATTTACACCTGAAAATTCAAACCTATCAAATATATTTCACAAGGATGTACATAGCAAAAAGGTCGAGAACCTCAAGGTGCAACGCACCGAAGCGTTTTTCTGCCAGCTTTGCTTCCTTGCCACTTCTTCCGGGGTCGGCGGCAGGGGCGGCAGCCCTTAAATAATAGGAGTAGCACGTTATGACTACAGTATTTAGCGGGGCACCCCTTCATCTTCACC